GGGCTGTTGGTCCCCATCAAAGCGGTTGCCTCAGTTTCTCCTACACAATGGGCAGGGCCAAGGGAGAAGGAAGAGGAAGGCTCACATGGCCTGTGATAACACTCAGGCCACCTCTGACCCATCCACCCCATGTACCACCACCCCAGCAAGCCCTGCAAGCTGAACCCCATCCCACAGCCATAGACCCCACTCTGACCCATTTCTCTTGATAACCATCCAGCTCCTGGCTTCCTGGCAGAGTGGTGCTGGCTCTGGCCAGGGGCCATGCCCAGGCCAGGTTGAAGGCAGCTGCCCGTAGGCTCCAGTACACATGTGGTGGCAGGTCCCTTTGGGGAGCTCCTGGAAAGGGGGCAGGATGCTGGTGGGGTACCTCGGGGCCACGCAAGCCTCCCCTGCTGGAGGAGGGCATGGTGCTCCCCTTGCCTCAGTTTCCCTTCTTCCCAGCTGTAGGTACTTTTCAGGCCGCAAATTCAGGGGGAGGAGGTTAGTGGGGCCCTCCCCCCTTTCTGGCAACCGCTGCGTCCCGCAGGCTCAGCTCGCCCTTCCGCCATGGCATCGCCAGACGGAGCCAGCGGCGTGGGCGGCAGCCCTGAGGAGACAGAGCTCAGCATCACCCTGACCCTGCGCATGCTCATGCACGGCAAGGTACCTGCATGGGGGCTCGGTGCTGGGGGGGGTCAGCAGTGCCTAGGGTGGGCGACCGTGCTGGAGCACCAGCTCTTGGCTATGTGTTGTTTTCCTCCCCTGCTCACAATCCACACGGGAATAGCATTCCCTAAGAGATTTTTTTCTCCCATCCTAAGCCAGGGAGGGGCCCATTCCTGTGCCCCAGTGTCACCAATAAGACATCCAGTGGCCACAGGGCAGGGCCTGCCAGTTGGCCACGCAGTGGGCAGAGGAGGGATGTGGCAGGCAGGGAGCTGGCTGCTGATGGGGCCACCCTTTGTCTCTGCCTTTGCAGGAGATCGGCAGCATCATTGGCAAGGTAAGATTTGGGGTCTGGGGCACTTACAGCCACGGGCTTCCCTGGACCTGACTGCCCACCCCGTTCCGTTCCTCTCCCCACAGAAAGGAGAGACTGTTAAGAGGATACGAGAGCAGGTAAGGGTGTGCTGGGGTACTGATAGGTCCTGCTGCCTATCCAGCCTGCATCTGGTGGCTCTCACATGCCCAGCCCTGGCCACCCCTTCCCAGATGGACACAGGCTGCACCCTGGGGAAGGCTGCCTGGGGCAGGAGGGAGGGGGGAAGCCCAGGTCTGCAGGCATGGAGGCCACCCATAATGGCCTCACAGGAAGGGGGGGGACACATCAAGCTCAGGGCCCCGGGTGTCCCTGATGGGGTATGACACCGTCCCCAGAGCAGCACGCGCATCACCATCTCGGAGGGGTCCTGCCCCGAGCGCATCACCACCATCACCGGCTCCACTGACGCCGTCTTCCGCGCCGTCTCCATGATCGCGTTCAAGCTGGAGGAGGTGAGCAGCCCCCCCCACCCCGCACCCCCCCGCAGCCCCCGTGCCTCGGGGCTCCTGAGAGTCTGACTCTGCATCCCCCCTCCCTGTCAGGACCTGGGAGCAGGGAGCGACGGGGCAGCAGCGGGCAGAGCGCCGGTGACGCTGCGCCTCGTCATCCCAGCCAGCCAGTGCGGCTCGCTCATCGGCAAGGCGGGAGCCAAGATCCGGGAGATTCGGGAGGTGAGGCTGAGGGTGCTCGGGGGGCACGCTTCCCTTTTCCCCTGGTGGGGATGCATCCCTTGGCACAGAGGTTGCCATGATCCCATGGGAGGCGATGCAGGAGTGGAGCATCACCCTGTGGGTCCCCAGGGGCTAAGGAGGGGACAAGGGAGGTGTGAGGTGCTGAGTCCCAGGGGGGAGCAGCTAAGATACCCCAGCATCTCTCTTTTCCCCCCTCAGAGTTCGGGGGCACAGGTGCAGGTGGCTGGTGACCTGCTGCCCAACTCCACCGAACGGGCCGTCACTGTCTCGGGGGTGCCAGACACCATCATCCAGTGCGTCAGGCAGATCTGCGCCGTCATCCTGGAGGTACCTGGCCAGCCCGGGGGGCACACACTGCCTGCCTCCCCCTCCCCAGGGCTCCCTGTGTCCACCTGGACCCGGGCACCAGGGTCCCCCCATGCAGATGCCCATAAGAGCACCCTGCCTTGGTGGTGCTGTGGGCCATGCCTAGCTTGCTGAGGGTGCGTGGGGGGCATAAGGGGGCTTAGGGAGCTGCAGGAGCATTCAACCTCATCTCTCATCCCCTCCACCTCCTTCCCTCCCTCTCCAGTCGCCTCCAAAGGGGGCCACCATCCCCTACCACCCTGGTCTCTCCCTGGGCACCTTCCTGCTCTCTGCCAACCAGGTAAGGGGCTGTACCCCCACCAGGGGCACAGGGTTTCCAGTGGGTCCAGCCTTTGCCGGCAAGGGGTGGCTCTTGTGGGCTTGGGGTGACCTTCCCTGCCCGGGGGGGTGGCCTTGGGCAGGGGTCCACACCTGGGCCCACACTGATGCCCCTTCTTTCCACCCCCAGGGCTTCTCCATGCAGGGTCAGTACAGCGGGGTCTCTCCTGCGGAGGTGAGTTGGCCCCATGGGGGATGAGCTCTGTGCCTGGCAGGGATGCCTGTCCTGGCAGGTGCTAGGTGCCAGCATTTGGCCCTGGATGGGGACAGGGGACCCTGTATCATCCCCACTAACAACTCCTTTCTCCTCTTTCCACTGCCTGGGCAGATGACAAAGCTGCAGCAGCTGTCAGGGCACACGCTCCCCTTTGCTCCTCTGGGCCACCCACCCTCCATGATGCCAGGTGAGCATCTCCTGTGCACCCCTCAGTTGGGGGAATGAGGTGCCCCTCCTGACCCATCCACCCACCTGGCCCTGATGAAGGTGTCCCCATCCCCTGTCCCAGCCTTTCCTGCCCTAGCTTCCCTGGTATGGTTACCTGCCCCCCCGAACAACTTTGTTCTTGATTTTCTGGGGTCTCTGCACCCACCAGAGCCCCAAATCCTGCCATGGGGAAGCATCAGCACCAAATTACAAGTGGTGCCTATGCCTTATCCTCCCTGTCTCTCCCCAGGGATCGTTCAGGTTTGTCCCTGGAGCTGCTGACTGCCCCAGCACAGGAGTGTGGTGGGGACATGGAGCTGCTGGACACCCACCCCCCTGCCACTAACATCCTTGTCTCTCCCTCTAGGCCTGGATACCAGCTCCCAGAGCACCTCTCAGGAGTTCCTGGTGCCCAATGATGTACGTGTGGGTCCTGGGGATGGCAAGGCACCATAGCTTGTCCCCACCCATGTGACCCACCTTGCAGTCGCTTTGCAGGGGCCAGCACCACACAGTTGGAGGCTTTGCCTCAGCCCCCAGAGCTCAGGAGCAGAAGGGGCTTTCTGGTGCAGAAACATGTGGAAGAACAGGGAAAGTGAGGCATGGGAAAGGGAAAAGGTTTGATCAGTGCCAAGGAAGAACCTTGGGATGTGACAGCCTGATGATGCCAGCAGGGTGGGGACTTGAGTGAGACCAAAATGTAGAGTTTACCCAAGGAAAGCAGCACTCTGCCTTCCCAGTGCATGTCTCAGTTTCCCCACATGTCCCAAGGGTAGGGGGTAGTGGGGTGAGCCCCTGGGAGCTTTCTGCTCTGTGTGGCTCCTCCAGCTGCTCCCAGCTCACCCCAGCCCCTGCCCCTCCAGCTCATCGGCTGCCTCCTCCGCCCGGACCGCAGCACAGACCGCG